CTCGGCCTGAGCTCCCGTGAAGGCGGCGGGACAGGCCTGGGTCCGGCTGGCCTGGAGGGGCCATCAACACCCCCCCGCGTCCGCCCAAGGCCTGGCCTGGCCTGGCGAGCAGCCCCTTGCCGCCCTCGGAAGGCCCGAGCCTTTGGCCAGTCCTGCCCTGGCAGCCCGGCTGGGCACCTGCCACCGGGGGATGCCCTCGCCGGTTCAGCGGCCAAAGAGCAGACGGAAGGCCGCCAAGGGCCCGAGGTGGGAAAGTCGGCCTCCCTCCGGCCACCCACCTGGAGTCCCGCCTGCTTGCCTGCCTGCCTGCATCGGACGGTGGTGTGTGAGAGACCTCGAGAACCGGGCAGCTCACAGGCTGAGAGGCCGAGGCTCCCCCAAAGAAGGATTGAGAACCACCCCCAGAGGCCCACCTTCCGCATTTGCCCTGGCCCAAGGGTGGCGTTGACCGCCTCCATACAGCAAGGAAAGGGCAAGGTCTGGCGTGCCACCCCTCCAGGGCTCGGCCTGCCAGTCTTGCGGTGTGTTATTGCTTTCCCCCTCCTTTGAACCCACTTGGGAGCAGGGCAGACCGGCCGAATATAAAACCCATCCTGTCTGTCTGGAAGCGTGGCCGGGGTGACCCTTCCCTGTCATGTGGGCCTGCTAGTCCCGCACCCTTCTGTCGCAGTGAAGAACCCCAACACCGGCAGAGGAGGGGTCTGCCTCCAGGTCCTTCCCCTCTCAGCATTCCTCGTTTGCCTTGTAGCTTACCCTGTTCTCAGGCCGTGGACCCCGGGGTCACCACCCACCCGTCAGCGGCAGGGCTGAGAGGGCTCCTTCTTGGGAAACTGCCACCCACCAACACCGGTCTTGTCTGAACTGTGCTTCTGCTTGTTGATTATCAAAGTCCATTCTGACCACGGTGGTGGCTACAGTCCTGGCCCTTGGCAGCAACTCTTTCCCTGCCGCACCATGGGAGATCTTTTGAAACGCCTGAGGTGGGGCTTGGGCCCTCCATGTTCCCAAAGAGCCGATCCTCACATTCTACAGCCAAACCGAGCATTTATCTACCTCCTTTATTTTATCCCTGGTTGCCATTCTATTCATGACGTGCCACATCCTGATTCTGCATCCTCCTGTTGGTCTTATGTGGCACAGGATCACTGCTGGCAGAAGACGGCTAAAATCACATGAGAGGAGGGACAAGAAAAGAGATTTCTCTCCCCCCCCACCCTGGCACTGTGGTTGGCATTGCTGGAAGCCTTGCTGGTGCTGCCAGTGTAAATATGGGGGCACAGCTGGCACCTAGGTTTGTGGCAGGGCCTTGTTCCTGTCTCTGTCTCCATGTTGTGTTGCTTCTTGTGTGTCGGTGGTTGTCTAAGGCTGGCAGGGCTGTCTGTAGAGAGGGAGGTGTCTCGATGGAACTGGATTGGGAGCCCTAAGTGACCAGGGCTGATGTTCTGTCCTCCCTGGTGGCCCTGTCTTTAGCAGCAGGGGGTTCCAGAGCCTTGGCACAGCTCTTCCTCCATGTTTTTATTCTGGTTTAAGAAATGCCTGCTATAACTCGAGTTTTGAGTCTCTGTCCCAGAGTTCTGAGCAAATCCAGTTATGTCTGGCTGAAGACAATGGATTTGGTGGTGTGTTCTGGGTGGAAGCCGGAGGCAGGTAAGTATGTACAGTATAATGGTTGTCTTTCAGGTATACATGTAATGCTAACATGTTCCCTGTACAGTTGCACTGTAGGATCCAGAAAGTATACAAGATGTGTGGCCTAGTTGATGGGAGAATGAAAATCATTGTAGTCCTGGTGGAATTTCTCCGGGAACTCCTTGCTGTGAGTCAAGATGATAAAGACGTATGCTTGGGTCTTTGCTGGTGTTGAGATTCTTCATGGCGAGAGAAGGGTGCCGGACTAGCAGGCCCACAAAATGGCCCACACGACAGGCAGGTATATTCCAGGCCATGCTTCCAGACAGGATGAGTTTCATATTCGGCCTGATGAACCTGAGATAAAGGGGAGGCTTTTGAGTGCAAGAACTCTGGATGTGGTGTTCCAGGTCAGCCACAAAACCTGTGATGGCAATTAGTAACGCTGTGTTCTTTGCCACCGTTTCTGTGGTCTGTTCTGGGACTTTTCCTCCATCCAGGCTGGCCATTTGGTGGCTGATGGGACCCTCTTTTTCTGAAGGTGGGAACTGTGTCTGCCAGCCGCTGTCTTCAGGGACACCGCTGCCGCCGCCCCCCACCCCCTGCGTCCTGCAGGAGTTCTCAGAAACTGCTGATATGTCTCCAGGTTCTTTTAGTTAGTGCCTGCAGGATGCAGTTCACTGACTCCTTTTGAAGTGGCCAAGGGTTCCTGGGCCTCCCCTGTTTCGCTCCCTCTTGTCCTTGCATCAGACGGAACATGGGGTTTTCCTTGAGGGAGAACGTGGCTCTCCCTTCTTCTCTCTGCGTCCCACCAGCATTTCCCCAGCTTATCTGTGCAGATGGCATACCTTTCTTCCTTTCGGGCATTGTTCCCCTCTTGCCGGTCTGAGCACATTCTGAGGATTATTTCTTTTGAACATCTTCCTAAACTGCGCAGAGTAGATTCATCTAGATGGGCGGTATTTAGTTAGTTAGGCATCCTTCCGTCTCGAAAGACTATGGTAACGTGCTCTGTATGGAGGACTTGGAACAGCGTCTAGTGTGGCTGAGGAGGCCAATTCGAGAGAGACAATCTCTTCCACACTGAAGACAAATCCAATCTGTCCCCCGTCCAGCTCCCTGGTTTTGCGACTTCCTCTTCACCTCGGTCTGCTGGACAAGGGTCTCTTCAAATTGGGAGAGGCCGTGATGCAATGCCTGCCTCCAGGCTGAACACTCAGATGTCAGGGTTTCCCATCTGTTGATGTCTATTCCTAAGGCCTTCAGATCTCGCTTGCAGATCTCCTTGTATCGCAGCCGTGGTCTCCCTCTGGGGCGATTTCCCTGCACTAATTCTCCATACAGGACATCTTTTGGAATCCGACTGTCAGCCATTCTCACGATGTGCCTGAGCCAATGTAGACGTCGCTGTTTCAGTAATGTGTACATGCTGAAAATTCCAGCTCCTTCTAGGACTACTCTGTTTGGAACTTTGTCCTGCCAGGTGATACCAAAAATCCGTTGGAGGCAACGCATATGGAACGTGTTCAGCTTCCTCTCCTGCCGTGCACAAAGGGTCCAGGACTCACTGCAGTACAGGAGTGTACTCAGGACACAGGCTCTATAGACTTGGATCTTGGTATGTGTCGTCAGCTTCTTATTGAGCCATACTCTCTTTGTGAGTCTAGAGAACATGGTAGCTGCTTTGCCAATGCGTTTATCCAGCTCGACATCCAGAAAGAGGGTGTCAGAGATGGTTGAGCCAAGGTACACAAAGTCATGAACAACCTCCAATTCTTGTGTGGAGATGGTGATAGAGGGAAGTGAGTCCATGCCCTGGCCCATGACTTGTGTTTTCTTTAGGCTGATGGGCGGTATAAAAGCCAAATAAATAAATAGAAGCATCGGCTACCCTTTTGCCCTCCTCCTGGGTGAATCCCAGCTGGAGAGCAGGCTTTACTGAATAAAGCCCCACACTCACTAGCAGTCCACCAAGGCAGAGCTCTGACCGCCCTCTTCCTTGCTCGCCCACAGGGCTCTGTGGGAGCCTCCGGGCGCCTGCCTTTTCCGCTCAGCCCTCCATGCAGAACTACCTGCAGGTCTTGCTCACCCCGGTGCCAAGTGCCGCTTCACAGTAGGCGGCCTTCTGTCCTGTAGGAGGCCACCTGTGCCCCTCCTGCCACACAGTAGCTCCCTGGGTGCCGCCCTCCCCCCCCCGTTTTGTCCTGCCCAGACTCTGGTCCCTTGGACAACTGCCCAGCACAGAACAGGCACTGGTTATTCTCTGTGTGCCAGATGGGCATAGAAAGCTTCCACGTGCCCCTTACCTGCTGGAAGAAGCTCGGGCCCCTCTTGCAGCCACAAGGGTGCTTCCCTCTCCCCCCCCTTCCCCTGTTTCAGTGCCTTGGGTTCTCCGGCAATCAGCTTCCATCTCTCCCATTCCCCAGTGATGCCAGGTATCTGCAGGGGCAATGCCAAGGTAAGACAAGCCTCCATTGCAGGATAAGGCCAGCTGGGGCAGTGACATCTCCCATTTCCAATGAGTCAGTCACTGGGCTGGTGCAGCTGAAACCTGCTATTATGACTGGGGGTAATTAGCACCCAACTGAGCTAGCAACTGGTGCCAGTTAAGCACAGGAAGTGAATGGGGGAGGATTGTCACCCTGGGTTAGAGGGAGATGCAGCAGTGCAGTGGTCTGGGGGAGATGACCTCCCCCCGCCCCCGAGGGATGTTGGGGGAGACTCTTGTCTGGGATTCTGGTTAGAACTGTAAAGGATTGATAGAACAGGGTTTCTAAAAGTGCAGTGAACGTTTGGGGAGAGGTTCCCCCCCCCCGCACAAGTGTCTGGGGAAAAGAAGTGGGGGGGGAATGGAGTGATCAGAGGACTGCAGATAAAGGACAGAGAAGATGAGTCCTCCATCCCCTTTCCAAGCACATCTTGGGTAGGTAGGTTGATTGATGATTTATGTATGTATTTAAAATATTTGTACCCTACTTTTCTTATTATATTGGGGTTCATGGGGAGGGTGTGCTTGGGTGCACAGCTTTGGTGGGTCTATCTGCTGAAGTTTGGCCAGGGGAAATACAAGTCCTCACACACATATTGGGAGACAACCCCAGAAGCTGCCCAGTCGCGTATCTTCCCGTGGTTCCCTCCTCTTCCTCCTCCTCTCCTCCCCTTCCCCCAAAGTGC